AATCTTAGTACTTAAAAATTTAGCCATTGTTTGAGCCATATTATTTTCAAAAGAATGCATTTTTGAATAGCATATTAATGTGAAATGTGTAATAAAAAAATAAGAAAAAGTTTTGAATTTGTGTATAATGTATTTTATTAAATAATTTATTGTTGAAATGATGTCAAATCATTATTTAAGAATACATTTTTCTGAAAAAATGTGGATCAAACAGGGCATTACTGTTGTTTACATAGTTATTTCTCACAAATGAATCGCTGAATTTTGATAGGAATCATTGGATTTGAAGCAAAATGAGTTATGAACGCTCTATCCAACTTTCACAGAGGTTGGACCGCGACATGCAGAGATACCAATATTTTATCACAGCGATGCAGATGATCTAGATTCTATAAATTTCTGCACTGTTGATTTAAAAATAAAAGTACAATTCTTCTATAATATATAGAGTCACTATAGGATCAATGATCTCCGAGTTCATGATAATGTTTATTCAATTATTTTTAATGAATGTGTAGTGCATACTAAAAGGGAATGTCAGTAATTTTTCTTTTATTTGCTTCTGGCATCATACAAAAGAAATGCAATGATATTTTATATTTTATTTTTTTTATAACCTTTATGTGATATCCATTGCAACAAATATTTTAAAACTAAACAAAATTTCTTTTAAATTTGCTAGAATAAAATATATTGTCAATATATAAATTTTTATTATTGATAAAAAAAATAGAAGCCTTCTAGTGTTTTCAACGATATTTAATGCACTTAGTATCATTATTAACATTATTTTCTATTAATGTTAAAAGATAAAAATATTTTTTTCTTGAAATATAGTATACACATTTGCAATATCAAATAAACATATATATTGAAAATTCATTTCGAATTTTGTGATGTTGGTCATTTGAGTAACTTCACAATAAAATAAAATACAAATAATTCCGAAGAATATGATTAAATGTTGTACAATTATATAATAATTAGTAAGTGTTCAAACTAATCGATGTCAATATGATATTAGTTATATGTTTTCCTTTAAGAATAAATACTAATTCAAAATGATATATTTTTTGAAATATTGGCTACCTCGAGAGCACAATAAATTTTATTATTGTTTCTTCAAAAGCGATATATCAACATTCTTCTGAAATATTAATGAACTATAGCATTTGATCATTCTATCAGCTAAAAAATTAATAAAATACATCATCGAAGGATTTGAGTTTGAATAAAATTCACGCTCTCCAAAAGCAATTACATATTATTATAATAAATTACATAAAGACTTACTTTTTAGACGTAAAGATATAATATACGTTAGATTGTATTTAATATACTATTTTATAAGAAGTTAAATTTAACTAAATCCTCAATATATAAATATGCATGCAAAAGAATGGACAGGTAAAGAATTGAGAAATCTGATTCTTGATTTTACATTGAAATCGATCAATATTCTTTTGAATTATTGAGAATTATAATTCATGCTCTTCATGAACAAATAATATTTTTTCTGGAATGTTGATTATATGTTGTGCTACTTTAGGAGCAACGAAATATTTATAAAATACAAATCTACGAGGAATATTCATTTGAAATATTAGAATCGGAGTGTCATGCTCTTCAAAAGTAATAATATATTATTATTTGAAATAATAACTTGCATAGAAATTTATTCTTCAGGAGTAAAAACATAACTTATGTTATATTTTACTTAATTATGCTCTTCGATAGTAAGTAAAATTTAACTCAAATATTTATAAATAATAGTATGCTATTTCAAGAGGAACAACATTTTATAATACGCTCATAATGATTAATTGAATGACAATTAATCTAACAATAAAATGAAGGAAAATAATAAGACAGAATCACTACTTTGCATGACATGCATATCTTAATTTTGGTAAAGTTTGTACGTCATATACTAAACAATTATTGACATGAAATTCAGCATACATATTCGCACGTGCAGAAATATGATATTATTACACATAATTCCAATTTTTTCTTACCTTTGGCTGTAAGTATTACTGTTCGAACTTTGGATCTTGGGAAAACAAAAGTGTGGATAGCCGACATGCAAATACCAACGTAAGTCAATAAGTCATGATTATATTTTCTACACAAAACTCCACGTAACGTCATTGGATTTCAAAATTACAACATAATTTTTTACTCGATTGAAGAAACCAATTAAAGACATGAATTCAATACATGGATTGACCGGACAAATTCACATATCATCAAATTAATTTTGTTACACGTAACAAAAAAATTATAACATTCTAACTACTTCACTTTGATTTTGAGAGAGTTGTGCTGGTAACGTGTTATAAACCGGAGAGAGCAAAAAAGAAAAATCAATAAACTTGTGCTATCTATAGAAAAGAATTAAGGCTTCAAAAGGTACAACGGTATGATTAGGATTTTAGGGGTGTAAGAATTATTCATAAATACTACTATATTTACAACATATTTTAAAATGCATTTTTAATGGAGTCCAAACATAGGTTTTATTATGTGAATGTGTGGTTGAAAATTAGTAAGAGAATTAAAAGGTTTTGTTTTAAAGAATGACAAACAAGAGCTTAAATTTATGGTTTAACTTTACAACAAAATATTGGACAAAAATCAAATTACTTGATTAGATAATTTGTAATTAAAGTCTCGAGTCTTTTATCTTTCATCAAGTCATGTGAAATTATTAATTATTAATCCTCCCTTCAATGGGTAACAGTTAAACAAAATCATGAACATGTATTGTATTGTATTTCCAAATACAATTTAAATATGCATGATAAATTATACCTGATACTCACGAGGTGAGAATTCCTTGTCTAATTGGGTACACAAGGTGAGGACGAACAAGACGTTGCATCGAGATGAGGGTGAGATGGATATGGAAAACTTGATCATCTTCTCATTTAAATTTCATTTCAAAGTAAAAATTGTCACAAAAAATAAAATAATCACATCATTTCTAGAGGAAACATAAATTTTTCTACAATTTAAAAAAAAAAAATATGTATATATATATATATATATATATATATATATATATATATATATATATATATATATATATATATATATTGATTTTCACCGACTTAAAAAAAAAATATGAATGAATGAAGGAGATTGAACTTAGGCAAGGGCCTTGTCCCCATCTCTACCTGTCTCATTAATACCCTAAATTTATGGTTTAAATTCTTGTATGGTTTTGGAATCTATAGTAGAACACAACACACTTAGAATGTTGTGTAAAGAAACACTTTTTGGACTGCTAGACAAGTTCAACATTGTTTTGAGTTCGTAAGAACTATTTTCTCATAATTTTGGGTTGAAGAATGAAGTCTAGTGTATGCATTAGGCATGATGATCAAAGTAAGAATGATCGCTGGCTCCACCATTGCTTTTTTCATCAAGCTTCAATTTCCTAAAAGAGGAACCGATTCTTTTTCTGATGAACCTTGAGATTTTTGTGGGCATTTTCTCAGGTTTCTTATCAAGTATTTTTTCTTCTAGCCCTGCCGATTCTTTAGCCTCTTGAATCTCATCAAATATAGTTTGTTGTTCTGCCATCGAATCTTGAACGTTCTTCAAATTTGAATCATTTGCATTGTCAGTTTCCATTATTTGATTACTTGATGAAGACATTTCTTGAGCCTTTTTGCTGCCACAAGCATTCAAAATGATAAAACCTATTCTCTTACGAAGAAAATCTCCATTTTTCCACGAGTTCTCTTGATCAACATTGCTTTCATCAGTGCACCTGTTGTGATTTCTTCTCTGCATGGATTTCATCAGTAATTTGGGAAATTTGACTCTCATTTTTGGTTGAGGTAGACTGATCATGCTAACAGTGTTAGGATCATCATGAGGCTTTTTATGAACAGAATTTCCCCTTTTCATATTCGTCTTCCTATTCAAGAAAATCACCATTGTTTCCCCACTCTTCTTTTTCACTTCTCAAATGCAGTAACTTGGAGCAAATCACTTCTCAAATGCAGTAACTTGGAGCAAAAAAAAAATGGTAATTTTCTTGAATAGGAAGACGAATATGAAAAGGGGAAATTCTGTTCATAAAAAGCCTCATGATGATCCTAACACTGTTAGCATGATCAGTCTACCTCAACCAAAAATGAGAGAGTCAAATTTCCCAAATTACTGATGAAATCCATACAGAGAAGAAATCACAACAGGTGCACTGATGAAAGCAATGTTGATCAAGAGAACTCGTGGAAAAATGGAGATTTTCTTCGTAAGAGAATAGGTTTTATCATTTTGAATTCTTGTGGCAGCAAAAAGGCTAAAGAAATGTCCTCATCAAGAAATCAACCAATGGAAACTGACAATGCAGATGATTCAAATTTGAAGAACGTTCAAGATTGACAATGCAGATGATTCAAATTTGAAGAACGTTCAAGATTCGATGGCAGAACAACAAACTATATTTGATGAGATTCAAGAGGCTAAACAATCGGCAGCTAGAAGAAAAAGTACTTGATAAGAAACCTGAGAAAATGCCCACAAAAATCTCAAGGTTCATCAGAAAAAGAATCGGTTCCCCTTTTAGGAAATTGAAGCTTGATGAAAAAAGCAATGGTGGAGCCAGCGATCATTCTTACTTTGATCATCATGCCTAACGCAAACATTATCTTTTTCCTCTCCCTCTTAACTACATTCGTGGAAGCAGTGATACTATTCTGACTCAATTTCTGCAGTTAAGAGAGTGATGTGACAAATTTTACTTATTTACTTATAGATAAACTTACTTATAATTATACTTCACAAGAAACATAAACTAGTGGACACGTACCATTATTTTACAAAACCGATTGCAGTCCCTATTCATCATGGATAACCACTTTTTTGCTGTTTCTTCAACTTTT